TAAATCCAAACAGAATTTTGGACTTGAATAATAGAGGAAGACCCGACGTGTCATAGTTCTGAGCAAAAACTGCAACTTTTCCATTGCTTGTCAAAGAGGATACCTCCATCCGTTAGCCAAGTCACAGCCTGGACCCCGGCTGCATAAGTTGCTACCGTTGAAACAACTCCAGCTTGTTCGAAAATTCTTTAATTATCTTATGGCTAGGGAAGCCACGGCTCTTCTGCCATTCGAAGATGGTGGCCGTTCGCCTGCTCACCCCGTCTTCCATGACCAGAACCAGCATATTGCAAGAGGTTGTCTACTCACCTTGTTCATAATCTGCAATAGATCACACAAGGTATGTGCAGATCCACCTATATCTCATCATGAACTGCACTATTCTCAAGGCCACGGTTGGTAGCAGTCTCGCTGTTTTTAAAACATTTTATTCACTCCTTCTTCCTAGCTGTCGCGGTCCTGTTGGCAGCTGCTAGTTTCCGGAAGCGCTTGGGTCGCCCTGCAATATAGTACGGCCGTTGGAGGTTGACCCGGCCTCTCCACCTCGGATGGCTGGCATATCTGGTGCAGTCGATTGTGTTGTCACGTGGTGGGCCCAATGCTCGACGGGGATCGATCCCCAGGGTCTGCTGTTAGCGAGAGGTGGCGGCGCAGTGAGGCGGTAGTTTGCTAGCTGGTTGGAGGCTAGAAAGTGGGTGTAGTGACCGAACACTGTACTGTACTGTGACGGGTAATTAAATAACTTAGATGAGTTAGATGCGTTCATCTGAGTCTAGAAATGTGTTAATCATGATCACCACGTTCATCTTGTTAAATGGGCCAATTTTCGGTATAATGAGGTAATTAAAGCAATTTAGGTCATTTAGCCTATTTCTAGCCATTTGGGGCATTATTCCTTGATGGAACCGGTGTGATTATGAACATTATAGTCTATTATGATGTGGTGCACGGTCATGGGCGGATGGGAGCCGCCAGGAAGTGGTGGAGTACACTCCAAGGGATTATGGGGTTGATCCGGCAGTACGGACACCTGTCAGGTACCCGGATTACATCGGATCATAGGTACAGGCGCCCTACGGCCATGGTACCTTGCAGAGACGTGGTATAGCTTTGGGAAGCAGCCTGGCATTACTAGAGGCACGCCAAGGGGCCAAGGGACCATGTGAGTAGCTCTCCAAGGGCCGAGGTGGCATTACAGGAGGCCGAGGTTGGCATTATAGGAGTGTATTGGACATTACAGGGGGCCGAGGGTGTCATGACGAGAGGGGGAGCGCGCCACCTATAAAAGTGAGCACCCCATAGGCCATTTGTCTCAGTTCGCCGGTGCACTCGACCTTGTCTGGACCAGGGGGCCCACCATCGTTGTAATGCATTGCCGACTGCCGCCAATCTGCCTCGATTTGGTCGCCATTATCCTGGGGATTCTACAGTGGGCTAGAATGGTTACATAAATTCACAACATGCGCACACACTTATTATATATACGATGCCCAATCATGGGTCTATCTGGTCACATCAAGACGAGACAACATAGTGCGCATCCAAGCGCATTGTCACCATCCCCTATTCACCCATGATCAACCCGTTTCCCTCTAGACTTAAGTACTAGCCCCCATCCCTCCACAACCCTAAGTACTACAACTTTGCAGGGCCGTAACTTTGCCAATACTTAATGGATTTGGGCGTTCAAAAAGCCTAGGACCATCAAGAGCTCTTGAATAGACCCGCCAAAATACAGAGATTATTAATTAGCACTCTATAAAATATCAATTAAGCCTACACCCCAAGCAGCCATATCACACCAACAACACATGGCCCTTCAGTCTGAAAACACTTCAAAACACCATTGGAAACAAAGGTTGTTTCCTAGGGTCCACTTTTTTTGTTCGTCTTAGTATTGAAAACTTATCAAAAAGGTATAAATTGAATTTGCAATTGATATGTATTATCAGAATCTTATGGTAACCCTTTTAACTTATAATGAGATCCCATGCCTGATTGCAATCAATCCCCAATGTGCCAGACCGCGCACAATCGCCTAGCATATAGGGCAATGTTACAGTCCTCGATTCCTGTCCGATACATGTACGTATTGCAAATTCCCTAAGGCGCTCTACTGAGTCAGCATTCAACAGTACGGGCACCCCCCGCCATCTCACTCCCCACACTGGCACCCCCTCGCACCCCCTCTAGCCTGCCATCGGATTGGCACATTTCCTCAAGGCAGGGTCCACAAGCAGAGCCCCTGGCAGGGTTGGGCACAAGGCCCCCCTCTATAGAAAGGCCTACTCGTTTTTTCCGGAAAGATCCCCCCCATTTCCCAAACTCGTTCTAACCACCCTGTCCAAGGTTCCTGCATCCATCCCGGGGGGGTGCTCTCTCTTGAGCACCCCTCCGTAAGTGTGCTGCCCGGCAGATTGGGAGCTTTGGCCCCTTAGCTCCTGATCCCCCGGCCACCTTCGAACAATGCTTTTGGGATTGTCTTTGCTGCCATGCAGCTACGAACCCCTTTGCAGAGTCCCATGAGTTCCCATGGGCTGAATAACCCGATCAATGGGTATTGATCCGGTTTTTTGACGCAGGGCTCATCAACAGGTGCCCCTGGTCCATTCGGGTTAGTTGCTTGGCATGCGCGTTGTGTCTTGGTCAGTCGCTAGGCATGCACATGGCCGGCGTCGGGTGTGGGCCTCACAAGCCATGGTGCTTACTGGGTGCTTCCCGTGCAGTGGGTGAATAGCTGGGCAAGATTACGTGGCAGTTGTCTGCTTGTTGGCGTACATCCGGGCCCTGACGGTCCCTATGTGTTCCCTGTGGCCTCCTGGCACATTGCTTGAGGGGTATCCCTTTGGTCTGTTTGCAAACTGTCGACCGAGGCCACATCGGCCTGGAATCTCAGGGGCATCACCTTGGTAGCACTCGCATAACATTTCACATGGCATTGTAGCCATCTATTCATATAAATTGGCTCCATTTACTGTTGCCCCGAACACGCGATAAACATTTGATGCTGAATCCTAGTAAACAGGCAATTTCTTATGCTCCTGTTGGCACTGTGACAGCTCATTCGGCACGCTATGACGTAGTTCATCGTACAAAGCATGTAGCAATCCGGCTGAGTTCCTAAACAGGGCCCGTTGCTGCTTCCACCTGCCAGATTGTCGCTCATAGCGTGGGGACGTGGATTGCATATGAATTTCTGGTCCTTGCGGCAGCAGCTGGCCTCCCAATGCCCCAAAAGTTTATTTTATCGGCCATGGCTTCTCCCGATATACCTTGGGAGGAGCGGCCTTGGAGGCAGCAGGCTTCTCTCGACGAGGAACAGTTCAAGGTATTGCATCTACCGGCACCTGCTGTTTGGCCAGAAGATTTTATGATTAAATGTGCAAGGGCACTGGATGTCTTATCGCAGAATTGCCTTGGGATGACGGAATTGGGTAATCCTTTGTCATACGCTCTTGTGCCTGCGCTGAGCACAACTCGGACAAGCACGCTGTTGGAATATTTCATCGAGATACTCAGGCACACACTGCCACATTTCTGCTCTCGCTAGTACCCTGCGCAGTTAGCCTTTCTTCTAATTTGCATGCTTGCTTGCAACGCTTATTGTTCTGTCCCTTTCTATAACCCATTGGAGAGCTGGGTTCGCCGTTTCATGACTGTTTAGATTGACCGCGAATTTGTGGCATAGGAGGAATGCCGGGGTTGGGATGTAAATGAAGCTGTTTTTTCAAAGGGCATGTGGGAGATGTACCAACCCCTCATGCGCGCGGACTTCAGACTCTTCGATGAGTACCGTTTCCTGCATGATAAACATGCGCCATTTGACTTCCCCATTACCGCGTTCTGCGGAACGCGTGATCGGCGGATCCAGAAGTGGATGGTGATGGTGCGGCCCAGAACACCCATGCAATCAATCAACGGCTCACAAGAGCACCACCAAAACGATATGTTCCTTCAGGCGCTGCGCATGCACCTCCTTGGAAACGACGGGTTGGATGCATCGGGCGCAGGCCTCGTGTTCCTCTTTCTTAATCCTTGCTCATGCAGGTAGACCCTGCACAAACCCCACATTGTACCACATCCCTGCCATACTCCAAAGCTCATCGCGCTGTATGTACGTGGCAGTGCGGCCATGAGCTATGTCAGAGTTGCCAAAGAGCAACTGAAGGCACGTGTTGGCCATCTGACACTCCGTTCTAGAAAAGCTCCTGGTAATGGCTGTCTCTGCTTCCTCAGGGATGGGAGAAGTTCACAACTGCGAAGTTTAAATGCGCAGATATTGATGGACATCACCTCTGGCCACTGCACAAGGAGACCAAGAGCCTGTGGCTACAACTGACAGTGGAAGAGCTAACTCCGTTGTTGAATTGATTGATACTCCCTCTGCCTTGTCTCAGCAGTGCTGCAGATAGGCGAGATAGACGATTGGCACACAGTGTGAAATTTTCTGAGTTTCTTTGCTTTGGCGTTACGAGCGGGAATTCCCGTTGTTCGAGCAACGTTCGCGTTCTTGGTACGCTTCAGCGGTACAACATGCCATTGGCCAACTGCGAAAACGTGTGGCGACATGCGCTTCCACTGTCGAACTGCATGTCCGGACAGCGCTCACACATCGTCGCTTCAGCACAGCCAGCATAGCCCATTCCAACTCCAGGATGCGATACCCATTCACTACAGATTTGGGTGTTAACACACACCATTCGTTTACAACTTTGGGATTTGCTGCCATCAATATGTAATGGCAATTCCCGCCAGAAAATAGAACCATATCTCCCCGCCCCTACCCTAACAACGCCTTGCCGTCGCTTCTCCCTGAAACTACACAACACACTGCGCAATCCATGCATTCTCTCAACATTGCCTCCTCTGAAGAACACATGGCCCTGCACCGATGGTGCACCGCAGATCCTGCGGCCTCTAGTCTTGTAATGCTGTGCTTCTTGAAGTCGGGAGATGTGATGCGCGAAGATACCTGCTATTTGAATTTAAAGCTGTGTCCTTTAAACTGCATCTCTCGTTCCATCTCGTATGTTAAACATCACACCTGCAATGCAAAGCACAGGACACAGGCTTTAAAGCTGCCAAAACACTAATTAGAGTCTGCTGTACCGACAGATCAGCTTGGCATTGCATTGAACAGGAGGGGTATTCAACTAAATTAGGTTTTACTCTTGAGCGTAGATCCGCAAATTGTGCTGAGGACGGAGGTGTGGTGGGTAGAGTCTCCACAGGGGCAATATTCAGGCAAATAATGACAATTTCGACAGCATAACTTGTGGGTGCCTGAGAAGTACAACAGATGATGTGTGCCAAGGCTCCCTCTGACACGTCCAACCATCGGTTGCAGGGCTACCACTGCTGTACCTCTGGTCGACAACATCTCTGATGTGCATCCACTTCACTATTCAGGCAATACCTTGATCACCATTTTGACCCTTGGTGAGGAGGGCCATCAGCGTTGCATAATCCCTCGAAGATGGTGGCAACATGGCGGCACGGCCAGGCACATTGCCCCCCCCTGTGTCCTGTAGAGACCCTACATGCCTGCCACCCTTTGCTGGGGAAGCACCTGTTGTCACTACCGTCATCGCAGGGCCTCCAGGGCCATAGCGGCGCTCCACAACCTCAGACTTGAACGTCCTTTCAGGAACAGTCTGGCTTGAGCACACTTCCACATTTTCTTGTGGCAGTGGAGCGGAGTCCACCTCATTGATCCGACGTGCTGCTTCGCAGCCTGTGGGCAAGCCATTCTGTCTATCTGTGGCAACAGTCCAGCCATGAGCCTTTTGCTGCTGCACACCTGCGGAGCTCGACGCTGATGGTGGGGTGGCCCCATTGTGGCCCCTAATGGTTACTGAGGCTCGTGAAACCTCAGAGTCAGATTGAGGCAGGCCATGGTTCACAGTGTGGATGACCAAGCTAGGGGCTGCAGCTGCAGCAACAGTGCCCGAAAGCCTCTGTGCTGTCGTTGTGGCTGCTCCATCTCTATCTCTGTGTGTCACGTCTCTGCAGCATGGTCGCCCAGTATACGCAAAGGCAGAGACACCCACAGCACATGGGTTGATGCCTGCCCTTTGCGCACTGGGTGCACTGCTGTTCGCAGAAACAGGCAACACATTCGTGTACCCTAACCTGCCAAATGTTGGCGAGTTGTGCAACCTCTGGTTCATGGCACCAGGGGCAGATGCCTGGGAGGCCTGGCCAACAACAGCTGGGGTCAGCAAGCTTGGGAAGATGTGAAACGGTGCATATCCCACAGGAACAGAAGCCATCTGCCCATTGCCGCTGACGCTGTGAGCTTGTGAGCCCAGCTTTGCAGCAGTCCCTGAGACCCTGTCACTGCGCGATGCTTCAATGACTTTGGTACCTATCACACACCATTCCATCGTTTCAAATGATCGACTGTGCAGCACCACATCCTGCAACTGTGCTGTTAGAACAATACGACACCATTCTTTCTATATCCATAGAAGGACACACCTGTGCAGCTTGAAGCACACTTATGTGCCCATGGCATCAACGACTTCATCGATTTCTTGGGGGACACACTTTGTCCATCCCTTATTTCAGGATTCTGGACAACTGAGGTAATTTGGGCCATGATTGGACAGTTGCATGGAGTCAAAGATGATACCTGCTTCCTAAATGTGTTTGCCACCTGCACCAGGTGACAAAGTACTGATACGCACTGGACAAGCAATTCAGTGACTTGACACACAAACTGATTTCTGGGGTTGATCTCTGGGATTTCTGTGGCAGCATCTGAGATTGTGAGGTACCAAAGTCTTGACAACTGCAATTCGAGCAATACAGAACAGAAGCAAATAAGAAATGCGACTCCGTACACAAGGCACAAACCTGTGGTCTCTGCACTGATCGCCTCCCTGGGACCATTCTTTTTGGTCCGCTTGGTGCTTTTCTGCTCTGGAAATCCAATCCACTTGTATACACTGCAGCGGGTCCTGACAACATGCAAGCCACGGTCAAAGAAATCGAATCCTAGAATACTGCATAGGTCTAGAACAAGAGCCGATCAACATCTGGCGATATAACAACAACAAAGGAATGCACACAAGCACAAGGACCTCAGTGCGTTTCTGATCTTTATTAGTTGCCGCCGCAATCTCTGCAACAGGCATGGGCTCCTCTTGGCTGTGGCTCAATTTTCCTTTTGTCTTGCGTTTTGCTTTGGACTTCTACACATTTTGAAACCAAACAATGCCCCCAAAGCTGTATATTCAACCATACAGTCCTAACAGCTGATTTCTTTTCAAACAGTCCCCACAAAAAAGGCACGCCCTGAACACAAGCAAATGAAAACAGCTGCCACAGACCTTTGCTTGTTGCTACAGTGCTGGTGGAGTCCAACTTGACGATGGACAATGGCACAACACCCTTCTTTGATGAGGTCCATTCACCAAACAAACTGAGTTGTCACAGTGCTGGCCAACTAGTGGCTAGATTCTGCAATGGACACCTTCCGGGCATAACACTGGTTAACGATGCAAGACACAGTGGTGGCCAGCCAATGCAAAGTTTGACATATTTGTACATGTGGCATATCCACAAGCCTACAGTACCTTGAGCATTTTTTCACCAGACCAAGCTCAGTGAGTATGCACGTGACTTCAACCAGCTGCTCCTCCACTCTTCTGACTGCCTCAGGGCCCAGCCCCACTGAACAGCAAAGATACTTTGCTGCCTCTGGGATGGAAATGGGTTTCTGACAACATCAAGGCAGAGAACGGGGATCAGCAAGCCGACCTGGCACGTCTGCCTGCATTGGCATCTGTTACTTTGGCTAGCATACTCGTTGGCCCATGCCACACAACAAATTAACAAATGTGCTGTGGCATCTTCACATGTTTGTGCAGCAGGTTTGCTACTGGCAGGCAAGTGCAAGCACTGAGGATTCAGTACCACTCAACACCTGCTGGGCACCACCAGAACACATGCTGTTTGCTGCAAGATATGGTGGGACGGGCTCCACAGGCTGAACTTTCATGCTCTAGAGTGGAAGTGAGGGTAGAGAAAGCATCCAACACCTGGAGGGCAATCCAATGCTCACCTGGTCCGTAAGGAGCAACCTCAGGAATCTCCTGCTGGCTGTCCAGTGGGACAGTCCCTCATGATGGGGGGGGTGCCTTGGGGGAATGGCACATGGCGGGTTGCTGAGGTCGCCGTCTGCGCAACAAGCCATAAACACAACTTCAGGAGCATCGAGGCAGCCGGTTCATGCCACAACGAAGTTTTTGAACGTTAACGATCGTGATCACTGTCTAGTCCACTCACTTCTTTCCCCTTCTGCCACTAGAGTCTCCAGCACTGATGAAAGGTCTCCAGCGCCACGCCATTCATAGGTCATCCACCCTGTGCGCGAAATGATCTGTGCAACAGAGCCGCCACAAACGACCATCAACGTCAAGACGTCATGATTGTACTCACTCATGCCTCCCTTGCCCTTGCTCGCCCATGGACCGGCAATTGGCATCAATGAATGTTGCACATAACGATATGTCATACTCAGGGACCCCCCTCCCAAAGAAAAAGGAATCGCGACTCGCTCCTGGCCGGCCACAAAGGGATCCACATCAAGGGGACGGAAGTTCACCGATCCAGTGAGAATGGTACCCTGGGACGGGTATTTGGCATCAACAGCTGAGTGGCCCACTTGGCCAGGAGGCAGCGCCCAGTCTGACCTGGAGGGACTCCAGGACGCTGATTACATTGTGCAGGCGCCGGGGCGCCACTCCCAACTCCTCCGCCATGCGCTCTATCCGCAGCGGCTGTGGCGGTCCATCAGGAGGGTCAGCAAGCAGCAGAAGCCGCCTGAGCAGCGCGGGCAGCCTTGGCTCTTCCCTGCTCCCTGCAGCGCAGACGAGAGGAGGTTCAGGCCTGTCCGTCTGCCACCGTTTCCGCTCTCCGCCCCCGGGGGTTGGGTTGTGCATGCAAGGAGTGATGCCGCCCGTCACACGTCGCCTTAGGTAATTGGGCAGCGATCATCGACCGCGCCTGGTCTGGGGAGTAATCGATGACGTTGGAGGTGTGGAAATGAGCGCCACTGTGCCCGGGAGTCCAGAGCACAGACGCCTCACCGGGGAGGTCAAGCGGGGGGCGCGATGGGGACAACAACGGCGGCAGGCTACAAGCGCGTCAGTGGCCACTCGTAGCCGCCCGCGCGTCGCAATCGGCAGCCAACAGCCGCAGGAGCCAAGCGGAGCCGAACTAGCCGTCTCGCGCTCGCTCGTCACCTTTCGCCTGGACACGGCGTTGGCCTCACCTGCACTTTGCTGCGCGTTGGCGACGCCTCTCCTCGTGGAGGCGGCCCTCAGGGCTTCGCTCGCCGCCCGCGGCCTCTCCCGGTGGGCCTTGGGTCCATTCCCCAGCTCGAGCGCGGCGGTCTTGGACATCATCTCCAGCGCATCCAGGGCAATCGCCTCCCTCTCGTCTATGAACCCGGAGCGCAGGAGCACGGGTTTATAGTCGACGCGCCTGTGCCGCACGCCCCTGGGTCGCTTGGCCACGCGCGTGCCGGACGCAAGGCGGTAGCCGCACGGCAACGTTACCCTGCCACCGCTTCCATCCTTTGCGCCGCCCGCATCCTTCGCGCCGCCCCCATCGGTAGGCCCTGCCTTGCGCATTCTCACACCTCCCACCCCGCCGCGGCGCCTCCCAGCCGCGCCCTCCTCTCGGCCTGTCAAGCCAGGGCGAGTCCGGCGGATTTTGTCGGCAGCCGTGAATATCTTGTTGCCCACCTGGCGGTGGGCCAAGACAACTCCAGCGATCGGGCAGTCTCCTGTAACCTTCTGTTGTGCCGCGAGGCCGAAGGTTTTGACAGAAGGCGAAGTCTCCCCCCTGCGCATCAATAAGCAGCCTGAGCGCCGCACGCTCGAGCAGCCCACTCAGCACCGATCGGCCACAGGGCCGGCGGCGTAGACGCGTGCCACGCGCTCTCGTTTGGCGTGGCCAGGGCGCGTCCGCGGGATGCCTCCAGGGTTTGGGAGCCCGGGGCGGGCGTCGATCGACCCCGGCGCTTGAGGCGACCGTCAACGGAAACGTCCCGCCCCTGTGGGTGATGCGGGCCCGGACGCGGCAGACACCACCGCCACCACCCGCTGGACAGGCGCACACCAGGGGACCATGGCAGCGGGTAGGCGACGCAAGCACGTAAGCGCAATTCGACGCAACGCACCCACAGTCCGCCACTCCCGCGATCACCTTCCAGCAAAAATGCTCGCGCCCAGTTGCAAGCACCTACACCACGCCGGCTGCGCCCTGGCTTCGATCTCCGCCGCACGAGCGGCGCGGCTCCGCGCCGCCGGCGCTCGAGCCTCCCGGGAGCGCGCTGGCCGCTTCCGGGATGCACCACGAACCTCCCAATGCGGCGCGCCCTCACCTCTTTCCGCTGGGCCCAAAAGGTGAAAGCCAGCAGACCGAGCGGATCCGCGCGCCTGCGCCACGGCGCCCAGGACTCCGCGCGGCCAGCCCTCTCTCTCCCTACCCCCCCGGCCGCCTTTGCACCCTATGCGAGAGCCCAGCCGCGAAATTATTCGGAGGTGTGGCCGGCAATGCGGTCCAACGACTTGCGCCGGCGCCATGCCCAGCGCAGGCCTCACCTCTTGAGCGCCGCGCTCCGCCACACTGCGAGTCTGTTGCTTCGCCGGCGCTGCCTTGCTGACCGCCCTGACCGCGTCTGGCGCCGGCTGTCCCGCGATTGTGGTCGGAACCGCGCTGGGGGTCGAACCAAGGAGTCGACTTGCAGGGCAGGCCGATTTGCACCACGGCGCGTGGGTGTGGAAGACGTCCATGGTGGCTGGCCGTCTGGTGTGCGCAGGGGCGGCCCCGGGCCCGACGGCCGGGCCGCGGATGAGTACAACGCGCGGAGAGGGCGCAACGTACTACCCTCGTACACACGCGGCGAGGGATGACAAGCCGCCAAAACGCCAGCTCACTCCTGACGCCGTTACATTCGTTACATTTCGGTGTCAGTTGGACTTTCCGTGTGGCTTCCAGGCCCGTGTCCTGTCGGGTCCGAGGTGACTGGGGTTGTCACTCAGGGTAAGAGGGCCCGTCGCTCGGCTGGATTGGAACGACAGGGTGTCTGGGCCCCCCGTCAGCGAGAAATCAGCCTGGCGTGTGACTGGCACGCGACAACGGCTTTGGAGCCCGTTGAACGCTGTGCCTGACTGGTTAAAATCCTGTTGGATGTGGATCAGATCCGGTCTCAGCAGCGCGCGTCAAATAGGCGTGGTGACCCAGATTCGAAGTTCGCGCATCAGGCACCGGGACCCCAACATCGCCTACAAGGCGCAAGGGCAGTGTCTTGTCACGTTTATGTGACAAACGTAATCAAAGGATTTGAGCTCCGGGGCATTCGACAATCTTGGGAAAGAGACAATTTTGAGTTTGGTACGCTCAGCGCTCAGTGGTAGACAAGAGGGGCAGGGGGCCAGGGCGTGAATGCTCAAAGATGTCAAAACTGCACCAATTCAAAAGAAGCCAAGAAGTGGGCAGAAAGGCCTTGGTGTGAGAAACAGACATTGGGGAAATTCCTTTCGAAGCCTCCCATCCCGGCCATGTCAGACATTGCGATTTGACGGGCTGCTGTCGCAGAGTGCAACTGCACGTGAACAGATTGGCGAGCAGGGCGCACGGTCTGCTTGTAGTCTAGCGGCATACAGATGTCGGCGATCGGTGACATATGCGTGGCGGCCATCAGCGTGGCGGCCATCAGCTAGGGGGTTTTGTGGTCCGCGCGTTGCAATTGCTGGCCCAGCGGATCGTGAATTGAGGGTTGAGATGGAATGTAAGCGATCGTGCATCAGGGAGAATTAGCGGCGGATGTTGGCGCGAGCCGACAATGTTTATTGGGGAATCTCACGTCCGGCAGCGCAGTGACAATCGTGTGATCTCGGCTGCCGCAGTGGACAGTGCTCCTTTGCCAATCTGGGATAAGCTGGCAGTTGCATTGCTTGATTAGGTGTGGCTGTGTGTGCTTCCGAGCGGTCAAGCAACCGGGGACAGGGGATGTTGAGATATTGGGTGGGCGCAGAGGGTATTCGGTGGCGCCATGCTGCAGTGTGTGTGTGAGTGGTAAGATTTGTTAGAGAAAGAGAAACAGGTCATACAATGAGCACCCCCTTATATTGGGGGGTAGGGTGGGTTATGAGCTCAGGGTCCCCCGAGCGCTGGGCGTGCAAAACTCACAGTAGTGTCTTCCCTGACACACAACTCATCCATGAGAAGAGGTAGCCGTCTGCTGCCTATTTGCATGAGATAAAGGCGGGCCGCATTGCATGCTTATTTCAGAATCTGCCATCACATACCGGCATGTTCAATTCGAACTGTTGGACTGCGTTGTCCACTTGCCACGCAACCTTGCACACAAAAAGCGTAACGCATCGATGTGGGCACGCACAACGTGGGCCAAACAACCACACCATATGGACATTGCCCACCAACACGATAGTCACCCGGCCATTCCTGAGGCCATTCAAACCTGTGTATTTGACAGAACGGTGGGCAATGCATGGATCGACGTGGCAACCCACAACGTCGTCGACTGTCCAAAAATTTGGACCGCTAAAGAGCTGCCTGGCATCGCCATCTGAGTAGGCCAATGGCCCGCGTGGGGCGATGCCTGACAGATTCAATCGTCGACGCATCCAGCAAGTTTCCCTCTCAAATCAGATCGGGACGGCCGACTTCAGCGCTGTGCGTACTCTCTCCCACGCAAGTTCTGGCAGTCCACGACAGATTGCTGCCTGTGCAAAGAAGCACCACGAGCATCCAGGCAAGGCAGGCAGGAACGGGCTTCACACGCTTCACAACACAGTATCAAAAAGTGCCGAACGTGTCCCAGTGGGGGTTCAATCAGCTTTCGCTCTGCTGCCGGTCCTAGCAATTCCCCTGGGGGTTTTCGGCCTTCCAAACCGCCTGTTGAAGTGGTTTGAGTATCCCACCGCCACAATGCGGATCCCATATCCCAGAGCCACCTTGCATGCAAACAAAGCCGACCAAGCCAGTCCCAGGGCGGAAAGGCGAGCCAGCCAAGACGATACGGGCAGCGACTTGCCTGGTTGCCAACCCATAAACAGCACCGAGATGACTATTCGCATTGCAAGGATGGCTGCGCCATGGGGGGCGAATCCCATGTGCCTGTGTGCATTGTGGCTCTGGCTGTGCATCGCCCTGTCACAGATGTCTTTGAAGAATTCGCGGTAGACGCCTGGCTGGACGTCGCTAAATTTGCCCAGCACTGCGTGCTTGATGATGTCCACCACGATTTCCGCCAGAATGATGCGAGTGCATTCCTTGACTACTTCGGAACTGGGCCATGACGTGTTGGAGTTGCACATGTCTTCAACGGCCACGAATAGCATCGAGAGCATCAGGTGGAAGAGCTCCACAATGTCCTAACACCAGAAGACAGTTCATTCTTGAGGAACTGCACAGTGGATGGCACGACATCGACAGAGAAATTTCCTTTGTTGTCAACTTTCTGTGTATTACTGTGCACGCAGTGTCATGACAACAATTAAAGTGATTTCCCACCGTCGCCTTGATGGAGGGTAGCAGCAGTCTTACAGCTGCAGTCGTCGAAGAAACAGAAACAAATGTGCAAATTCATCGATGCACCCATGGTATTTACAATTGCAAGATTTCCAACGCTGGAAGAATGAAGCTGTAAGGCCAGTCGAGAATGGAGTCAGAAAAGTGCACATGAGGGTGCGTGCCAATCAACGCAGAATCTAACCAGCAGTGCCAGAAGGCTGGAATGCCTTTGGCAGCTGTCAACAACATGTTATGCAACAAACTGTATTGCAGGAACAATTCGATTCCATTTGGCCCAACAGGTATCGTATCAGACAACAGCAGGCTAACATGGCATGCGCAATTAAAATCAGACAAATGCTGGGAGCAGACCAGGGTATTTCCACATCAGCCCAGTGAGGTCCCAACACTGTGACTGGAAGCTGTGTAGTAGCGCAAGGACGAACATCAGCAGCGTCGATGCTGCAGCATGTTGCATAAAAATCACCATTCCCACAATTAGATTCGTACCACAGAGTTGACAATTTCTATTCCTTGTTGTGCTGACACCTTGTTCAGGCTGCAACAAGTCTCTGAGACCAGCCATGGGGTGTGTAGAGCTCCAGCGGAGGTTAGGTAGAGGGTAATGAGGAGGGTACACAGTGCAACATGGTGATGTTTGCTTGCAGCGAAGAAAGTACTGCGTGGATCGTTCTAAGGAAATGGCCGCTGCATCACACACACGCAGCTGGAGGCAGTATCAAAGCATCTGCACACCTGGCAAGCCAAGTCTTGGAGTTTGCTGGGGTCGAAGCGCTTGTACACAGTGCCCTTTATCTCTGTGAAGTTGCTGGCTATAAGGAGGGCAACCAGTGTGTTTTGGGACGACGTCATGGCAACACTCCAGACCATTCCATGGCACATGATGACCAGGCCGTGCATGGTGATGGTAACAAAGGCCAAGAGGCTGTCAGGCAGAAGGTGTCGCAGGCCCACACGGGGATCGCCAGTAACAAACAGGGTGCATGTCCCTGAAAGAGACTCCAGCACATCCACTCCAAAGTTGCAGAGTATCTGAAGCAGCAACACAAGCAAAGAAGAATCAGCAGGACAGTCCAAAATGAGAACAAGAGGGCATTGCTAACTGTGGCTATATCCTTGCGAAAAGTCCAAACTGAAGTCACTCCCAGAAATTGCAGGACACAGTTATTGTGCCACCAGCCATCAGGCATATCGCATGGGACAAGAACCTCAAAGAACCCCTGCTCCCCAACCTCCCCTTCATTGTGTGATGGCTTATTATATTTCCTGGAGGAATACAACTCTGAAAGTAACAATCTGTGAATATCTTTCTCTCTCCACTTGTATTGATGGCCATGTCAATACTTGGCATCTGCCAAAGCTACAGCACTTAAAATGAATCGCACAGCCCCACAGTATTGCGATGACTGGTTCAACAACCTGTGGCAGTCAGACCTGGGCCACCAGTCAGTGGGCTATTGCATTTGTCGCTGTTAACTGATGTGCAAAGATGGGGGCATGCTTGTGTGTGGGTGTGTGTGGCACAGCCCAGCCTGTGACATCTGGGGTTGGTGTCAGATCACCATACACAGTTGGGGACCAACAATCCATGTCATCGGCTGTCGAAGGTCGAAGTCGTCGGGGAGCCACCCAACCAGCAGTTGCAATCGTGTGAGGTGGTGTATCTCAATCATTGTCGCATACATTTACTGCTCTTCCCTGGATGGAATACTGCAGTGGCAGTGACATAACCACTTTGTGCAGATGTCTGAATTCGAGAAAAGGAAATAAGAAAGTGTAATGGGCACTGCACATTGCCTCAAAGTCTCGCTAGTGTGAACAGGTCAAACTAGATGGCCTGCGTCAAGCACCACAACGATGTTAGGAGTTGACGATAACTACAGATCTATGGCTCACCTTGTCTGATATTTCAAGAGCCAAATATATGGCATGAATCTTCATGAACTCAGCTGTTATGTCCTTCATCCAGAAGTAAATCCAGCTGGGTCGAACGTGCCGCAACACCCAAACACCCATTATGATGATGCCCAGGCAGATCACGTCAAACAGCTGGTCGCCATGAAGCTTCTTCGATCGAGCAACACGTGACAGTGCCTTTGCACATCTAATTGGCAGGAACGTGAATACACCCTGAAGGAAATCTGTCGCAGTGGGTGTTAGCACTCCAGTAGTGGGCAAAGACATACATAAAACTTCAGCAAATGGTGGACTCAATATGTCATGATAGCATGCCAGTCCGCAGGAATTGTAGTACACATGGTGGCAAGCAATGCCAAGACAAGATGTTCTGCAGGCCACTGACAAAAAACGATGTCTCTTTGCGTATGTCCAGAAATCAGACCAGTCAATCAACAAGATATGCTTGTGTGGTGTGAGTTATGAGCTATTGGTCACACCCAGGAGGACAGCAGCCCATCTGGCATTGCCATGCACCATAAGATTGTTCAACAACTGCAACTGCGACTGTCAAAGCTGGTGGTTGTTTGATTCCCCAGCTGCTCTGAGCACAGAAAGCCAACGTGGTCACATTCTATCCAGCCCACCGATGGCACACACAAATTTGCTCACCAGAAAAGAATCAATGCACAGGAGCTGGCCGAACCACACAAGACACTCCAGCTGCCAGGGTGTGTGGTAGATGGTATTGTACCTGAATTGCGAAAACAACATAGACAGACATTCACCGTGCCTGAAGCAAAGCAGCACATACTCTGCAGGAACATCCCAAAACATGATGTTCACTGCAGGGCTATAACTGTGACGATCAAGTTGTAGTCTGCAGCTGTCAGCGACTGCACACTACACGCACCCTCCCTCCCTCTACTACAACTTACACTTTCTCTCGCTCTGTTCTGCCCCACTTCACATCTGTTCTTGGGTACTTCTGTGTGGGCTTCACTTCCCCAGTCCAGTATTGGTCAAAGGATGGGAACGGCTCCTCTGCAGTCAACAACATTGATTCAAGCTCCACTTTGGTTGTAGCTGTCAAGAGGTCAAGAACATGCTAATCCACCCAAAGCTCCACAAGGCTACATGAGGCGATCAGAAAAGCACACCCAGGGCAGTTGGGGGACAGCCATAGGACAATCAGCATTGATGCCAGTGCCTTTATCAACATGCCACGCTACAGAGCAGGCCCCTGGGCATCTCGACCACGCTGCCCGCCCATGCTCACCTTCGATTCTCTGGGGAAGTGCTGGAGACCTGGGAGAGGGGACGACGCCGCTATCTGCAGGGAGGGATTCCTTGTTAAATCAGCAGAGAAGTCTGTCACACACAGGCCATCCCCCTCCCGAGCAAGCAAAGAAGGTGAGACTCTTCTTCATGCTTTGAAAAGATGATGCGGAGCCTTCAATCGCATGGGAGAGGATATGACATGAGGATACACAACACACGGTGCAACACACGCGTAGTATTTGGCGTGCACAGAGGCGGTTTAGCGGCAGGGAGATCAGCGCCTGCAAGGGACACGCCAGTCCAAACACAGCGATCACCAGTTTGCCTCCACAACCGCCCTCCAATACCACCACTGCGGGCCTCAAGCGTCCTCCCACGCTTGATCAAGCGCATATCCCCCTGTTGATGGCGCCGATTGGCGGCCGACGGGTCCCCAAAGCGCTGGAACACCGACGCAGGCAGGTCTCGGGAGGACTCGGGCGTGATGGCACCCGCACTCGTCGTCATAACACGTGCACCGTCGCGCTTACGCCCCCATATTCCAATCCGCCTCTGCGTGGTGTCCCACCTCTTCGCAGCATGGGCGTCCCTTCTTCGCCGCAGCCCGTCCCCAGCCCCTGATGCCTCCCAAATGTCTGCGAGCTCTCGCCGGACAGCGTCCTGATGGGCGGCAGCCTCAGGCCCCGCTCCATTCCGCCGTCGGCGGAATACCTCCCCGGGCTTGAGCCGCAGGCGTCCATGCCAAAAGCGCTTTCTTCGCCGATCGACGAGGACTGCCGCCTGCGGTTGCGCTTCTTGGCAGCCTTCTTGGCCTTCCTGTTGCTGCTAGCGTGGCTGGAGGCCTGCCCGTCGGGGCTCCCGGCTGGGTCACCGGACGGGGGCTGAGGGAGCCGAGAATCCATGGGGCAACTCGCGGCGATTGGGCGCACTGGCTCGTCGTTGGCCCTCATCCTGCTCCTTGTGTGCAAGTATCCTGAAACGGGTCACCGCCCGCCAGTCCGTCGCCGCCCAGACCGCCCAAGTACGCTGATGCAGGCCTTCGGGAACTCGCGCCCCTCTTCTTTCTGATCAACTTCCCCGGCCACCTTCCGATTTCAGGACAAACTCAAATTGACGAAATGCCGCCTTTGGCTCCATTTGGCCAATCCCTGCCAGACATCTGAGTCTCTTGAAATTGTGTGAACGTCCCCAGACAGATTGATTCACAAACCGCATCACGGAGAAAGCTCAATTCTGCGCGACTTGTCTTTTGAGAATGGCAGCTGACTCGCGTTTTGGCTTCGAAGATTTCCAGGGCGTGATGCAGCTGAGATATTTTCGCGCCCGTGTTCCCAGGAGACCGGCCAGCTTGCCAGAAGCAAATTTGGGTGCTTGCGGCCTTTCCAGGCACACCAAGAATGGCAAGAATTTCGGGACTCTGAACACCGCAAATCTTCTGCAGTCGATCCCATTCACTGTTTGGGGGTGCACCAGCCGACCAAAGGAGCACCCAGGACATAAGCAACGTGCTGCTGGAAAAGGCCACCAGCACGGCGTGGATGGGTTGGGCTGCGGAGCCACCCCTCACTGCAAAGCTGGCCAAAACATTGGCCTTCTTACAGCCGTCTAGCTGGATGCCGGTTGTCGTTTTCAGAAACAGAGAGCACCATTTTGAGATTCCAACATGTGGTGCAACACACTGGGGGGCAATACATTGTGCGATTTTGGCAGAGGATTGGAAATTCCGGTATGTTCAACCATGTGTTACAGCCAGCGTTCGGTGCACAGGTTGACACTGGTGTATCATGGTGAATGGGTATGCCGCCACAGTGGATGCAAAGCAATTTGGCATGTTGAAAATACGCAAACGTATGTTCGTATTGCTAATGACGCGCTGGGATAAAACAATGTGCACGGATTTCACCCCAAATTTGCCTGCCCGGTGCAGGTGCAGTATTTGCCATGTACTTTCGACAGTTGTCATAAACTGATTCAGCTAAATTTGCATCCAACGAATTTGCGATGGTTATGATGTCCACATTGTACATATTTTACAGACAAATAGAAGCTATTGGAGCGAGAAATTGCCATTTGCCTTTAAAGCTCCCTTGAAATGCCTATGCTCCCCTTACATTATCAAAGCAAAGACAAGGATATAGCGTTCTTCTTCTTTTCCTGGACTCGCATTGTTAAAAAGGGAAAATTGGATGGAAGTGCTCAGATCGCCAAGTCAATCGCCAAACACGGTATGTATTCAAAGCCGTACTGTTGGCCCTGCGTTCATCTCTATTGAGAACATGGCAAGTCAATGTTTGACCCCGCTTCCCCGTCTCCCTATACGGTGTTCTTTCCAGCTGCTTTGATGTTCATGCACCATGCCGGGGTGGCGCACCGCTCAGATTTGAGCGCATATGAGTACAAGAGGAAGAAAATATTGAAGAGGGTTAGTTGATCCCGTAAATCTCAAGCACCCAACAATTTCAACGTAATCTGTTTGGTTAAACGCCGCTCAGCGCAAATGTAGCATTGCCGACCTGTTGGAAGGGATGCTTGTGATGCGGTCCAGAAAATAGGGTGATACTGATTTTGAGAACTGCGATCGCCACTTAAATCACAGTGGTTTACTGCAACAAGAAGTGGCGAAGGCGGTGACCCACCGGCAAAGCCCCTGCTTGCCAAGACAGAGTGTGTTCTTTTGCGTGCGGCAACAGTGTTGTCTCAGGAAGAGCGGTCTAATACATATTACAGAATATATTCTGGAGGAAGGAGCTACCTGCCAGAGACATGGCAGCTCGGCCAGTAAGCGACCGCACACAGCCTGGAGGGTTCAGACTCGATTTCCTCCAAAGCACAACCAGTCACTCGAATTCGTTTTCGGTCAATTCTTTTAAACATATTTGTGGCAATGTACCTGATAGTTTCAACTGTGCTGTTTGTTATTCCTTAATCACGGTTGGCATGATGATCATAGCCCCAGGCCCCAGATCCCGTTGTATTAGTACTAGGTTGTCCGATTTTGGAAGCAAGCAAGTTGCAATAGAGTCAATAACACCACATGTCCATAACCTGTTTGGAAACAGTCACAGGACGCAATGGTATGTGGAATTGAAATTGCGAAAATGCTCAGCCATTGACAGAATGGTTATTACAGCGGAAGGGAAGAAACACATAGAAAGGCTACCTCTTTAAGTTTTACACAACATCGTTGGCTAGAAACTCTGGCCATGTTGCAAACTGCTGTGCTTTGGAGTTGGTATTCACTGTGGCGCTGAATGCCAGTCCTGTGCCCAAGTACTTCTAGTAGGCACCGCATCGTTGCACGCTAATTGCAGCGTGATCGAGAGGATGTACACCTCTCAGAGAGATTGAAGAAGACGCGAGCGCAAGAGCTAGGTTGGCAAGGGAGACAGAATCGCAAACACCAAAATCATGACCACTCGTCAGGCCTGCCAAAATACGAGTCAACTTCCATGCTCAAGATAGCATTTCCGCGTGATTGATGCTGCCATTGGATGCTGCAATGTACACAGCTGACACCGTTCGAGCCGATGCGACGACCACATCGGTGCGGCTGACGCGGCAGAGGCCGCCTTGAGTTGGTGCACGTTGTTGACGGCCAAAGGCGTCGCGCTCACGAGGCGCACGGCTATGAGCAGACCGGGCGGCCATCTCACCCCCGCGACCTGCCACAAGCTTGGGACGCAAGGCAAGCTTCGGACGGACTTGAAGGCGGGGAGGTCCAGGCATCAGCGCGAGTTACGGCCAGGCCTTGGGCGACCTTTGGCCAGCGTGCGTGACCCGCGGGGCGAGGCGTGGGTTGAAACAGATGCACCGCAGCCAGCCTGGGGAGCTTGGGATTTTGCGAGGGGTCTTTCGACGAGGGCTGCGGCGCCTTGAAGAGGAGCGTAACTTGGTGTTCTTCCGCCGGAGCTAAGTTGACATGGTGTAAAGCAGAAGAGCTAATCGGTGAGGACAGAGCGAAGGCTGGGGAGGCATAATTGCGCCAGTCGCAGGCTCGGCTCGAAAGCTATTTCACCTAAGTTGCCATCGTTCTGGGTGCGAATTGCGAAGCTCTGTTGTGGAACTGAAAAGGAGGCAAGGGTCGAAAGCGTTCTTGTGAACGCCTGAGATCATCCAATCACAGAGAGCCAATTCCAAGTTTCATGGCCTTGGCCACAGCCCTGCATTCCTTGGCAGGCTAACTTGGCATAGCGAAGCAATGCATTCTGAACGCCACCTTATTAGAATGCACTTCCACTGATCCACATAGTTTTTTTCTGATACACATCACGTTCAAGATCCCATTAACTGCTGTTTTGTTACTCTGCTGCCTATTTCCAAAGCAAGTGAAACAGGCATAAAATGGAGCGAAGTTCTTCTCTAAGAAAAATTCTATACCACCGCAGCTTGCGTATCATCGATTATCACGTGTTTTGAACTGCATTTGAGTATTTGCTATATGGGCATAAAATTATTTATTCTAGAATCTAGCTCCCTGTACCGTGCTTGTTTTTTTGTCCTGAATGTGTACATCAATTAGTTTCCACGGCGATTGACACGAAACCTATACATCATGTTCTGGATCCCAAACTGGGGATTACTTCAGGCTTGTTATTTACGTTTACTTTTTTACGCCTAAAAATGTAAATATAAACGTAAAAGCTAATACTTTTACTTTTGTATTTGCTTTTTTACGGCTGTTTGTACACCTATGTTACACGGTGAAAGTCGCGTACAATGATCGTCCCTCCTGCCCCTCGAGAATACGCGACATAGAGTTCATCTGGCCCTCGGCAAGGGCATTGGCGTCGTCGAACAAAAATGCGGTTTCTGCCCACTCCAGAGCCTCTGGCTGCGTAGTTTTAGACATTTTTACGCGTAAAAACGTGAAAACTATTTTACATGTAAAACGTAAACAAATCTGTGTTTACGGCGTAAATAGCAAGCCTGGTCATAATGAAAGCCCAAAAAGTAATGCAGCCGACCGACACTGATAGCAATGCTTGGTTATCATGTTGATGCTCGGCAGTATTTAACGAACAATGAAAGGAGTGCTGCAGGCGCCAAACTCACGAACGGGCGGAATGGCCGCAATCCAAAACGGCCGTACGGAGAGAAACACGTCCAAGTGAGGCTGACAAATTCGGTCCCTGTGCACCACTTGCCGTGACACGCCGCCATGGGGCCCGACGGCCCAACATCGATGGACACAGAACGGCCCCGAAGCTTCAGCCGCGCCAAAACATCGGGAATGGAACCCAAGGCAGCATCTTCCTGCCAAAAATTCTTGTTGGGCAAGGCGAAGCTTCGAGAGGAGCAGCGCAACAGTTCGGAGCTAGAGATGATATCAGCGGCCAGCGAACCGTGTTCGGGAGAGGCACAAGTTGATACAGACATGCCTGCGAGCGAGAATGAGACGGAATTCGAGCTGGATTTCCCTGGATATGAGTCAGCTCATTCAGGTTGGTGAGAAGCCCAACGCCACCGATATCGGTGACGCCTGGGACGTTTGAATTTGCTACATGTCCGCTGTTGGAGCCGCCAATTCTAAGGGTTTGAATTTCATTGCGGTTATGCAAAAGTCACCCAATATTCGCACAGCAATATCGGCCTGTAGATCTTGCCAGTCGAAAGAAAAAAGCACAGGAAGAGGCAATCAACCGAAAATGGTAGAGAAGCTTCAAATAATAGCATGCACTTGACAGACCTGCAATCTCTATATTCTTTGCTGATGTTATGAGAAAATATCACAGGTTGCATTGTACACTGGTCGTTATAGAAAGGACTTGTTAGAATAGTGTTCTGAGTCAGAGTTGGCAAAATGATGGTGATAGTTATAACGAAACAGAGCGATCTGCTTGGAATACGACGCAGAGGGTGACGGTTATGGCGATGCCGATGCAATCCCGGCTGCTCCGAAGGACACTATCCGGAGGGCCTCCTTCTCGCTGTCGCGCCTCAGCCCAGAGGA